TACTTTGCTTTAATAATAATATAAATTAAGTTCTATTAAATGAAAACTCTTACTAGTTTTCTTAAATGTTAAAAATTTTTCAGAAAAATTAAAAACCAGTACTAGATTCTGAAAAACAAAATTGGAACATGTGACTAGTCATTAGCACAAACAAAACAACATGTTATATTATACTAAACAACAAATAGTAACAACAAATAGCTATATTAAAAAATAACAGGTAAGTATAGTATGTGAAATAAAAAAATAGAGGAACAACAGAATAGTCTAAAAATAGAAATACAAACTAAATTAGGACTATCATATAGTACAAATCTAATTCAACATATTAAGGGTTTTGGTGATAGAAATAGAAGATATATAGATAATAAAATATTAGATGCAGTCTTAGCAAAAATTATAAGAAATCCTGATAATCTAGAGTATATAGCAAGAGATTTAGTGATTTATAATCCAAAAAACAACATGATAAATGATTTACTTTTGTATAGTCAAATATTAGAAGTATTCAAAATAGCAGAAGTATGTATAGTTTTATATAATATTATAGAAGAATAGACAAAGAAACTTACATCTATAGATATAATTTCTGGGTCATTCAGATATCAAATAAATACAAATAAAGGAGAAACATCAAGAAAAAAAACAAAGCTAGAAGAAATGAAAATGGCAAAAAAAGTCAATCAAATAGAATTGCTTATATATATAAAGGAAAAATACTAAGGATATAAAAATAAAAGAGAAGAAATGAATCAAGATTTAAAAAGAATTATAAAACAAATAAAGAACTAAGCATCTTAACTACAAATCAACATGATTTCAAAGATTCTAAAAACATGATTATAAGAAAACTACCAATGAAAACAATGAGATATGAAAGTGGTAATTAAAAAAAAAGAAATAAAAAAAACCAAGAGAAGTCAACAGATAACAGAATATGCAATCATAAAAAAGACATTAAGAATATAGATAGAAGAATAACAGAACTAAAAGCAGAAGAAGAAAAGTAAGAAACTTTAGAATTGACAAATACAATAAAGTAAACTTAATAGTTACCAAAAAACCATATATGTGATAAAAGTAAATTCTTTAAAGCAAACATACCAACATATATAGTATTAGGTGAAAACAAAGAAGAAAGAATTAAATATATACAATGAATTTTTCAAGAAAATTATTATATTAAATCAATTCAAGAACTTTTTAAAAAAGGAAATAGTTGGGTAAAAGTAGATTTCAACTGTGAATTTAGCAGAAATGTAGCAATAAAAAGAATTAAAGAAAAAAAAGGTAAATGGCTTAAAATCGTTCCAAAAGAATCTAAAAACTAAGAAAAGAAACAGAACCAGCAAGTAACAAAAAGCAAGAAAAAAGAAATAAAAGAATCCAAAAATGTTATTAGACAAAGAAAAGAATGAAATAATGAAAACAGTCATGTAACAGAAAATGAGATAGAAACAAGTCACATTTAACAATATGAAATTTACCAGTTAATATTAATGTAAAAAAAATAGACCATATATGCAGAAGTATTAAAGGAGCTCATATAAAATACATCACAAAGTCTAAATATAAAGTATTAGTAGTAATTAAGGTGAAGAAAATAGAAGAAAGAAATATTTCATAGTCACTACTAATAGGAATGCACAAACTTGTAAGAGTAATGATAGGAGAAAAAAACAATAATTAGCATAATATGCAAAATCAATTTATAAGCAAATTAGTAAAGCTTCTAGGAAATGTATCAGAAGTATTATTATTATGATGCTTAAAGAAAAAGGCTGTAAAATCAGTATATATACCACCTAATAGAAACTGAAATCAAAGAAGGTCAGCTATAATTACATTTGTATCAGCAAAGAAAATAGAAGCAATACAAAAAAAACTAATATGATTCAACAATCATTTACTCTTTTGGCAAGATTACAAAAAAGAAAATAAGAAATATAAATACAAGAATATAGAAGAAAAATACATCAATGAAGATTATACTAGTGAAAAGTCAGATATAGAAGTTGATAAAAATATTAATTATGATGAAAGATGAAAGAAAAATAACAAACACTACAATAATCACAAGAAAAATCAAAGTGAAAATAAAGAAACACAATTGCAAATATATAGTCTTCTTCAAAAAATATTAAAAAGATTAGAAAGATTAGAAACACAACAAAGCTAGATAGCTCTAACTGATCGCTCTTGAGAGCATACCAGTTGAATTAATAAACTTAGACAAGAAGATCAAAGATTTTTACAAGATGAATAAAGAGTTTTTAAAGAGAAAAAAAAGAAATATCTCCTAGTCTAAAAGGAAAAAAATACAGAAAAAGAACAAAAAAAATAGAGAATGAAGTAACAATACAAAAAAAATTAAAAGAAAAATAGAAAAAAGAAAGAAAAGAAATCAAAATAGCATATCACAATGTTAATAGACTGAAAACTAAAGATTGGAAGTTAGAAAACTTGCTTAGTTGAATAGAAGAAGAGAAAATCACAATATTGGAAATTACTGAAACAAAGGAAAGAAAAAATTTTTTTTTTAAATATTAACAGTAGAAAGAAAAAATTTTAACATATACAGTAAACAAAAAATATATAAGATTTTGGGCAAGTGCAGCAGAAGATAAAAAGAAAGGTTCAAGTATTGAAATTATGGTTAATGAACAATGGAAGTAGCATGTAGGTGCAGTTAAGAAAATAAGTGAATATATGATAAAGATTACACTATACTTCAAACAATTAGAGTTAGTAATGATTACAATCTATATACTATCAAATAATAAAGCAATAGCAAAAAACATTTAGCAAAAATCATAAAAACAATCACAAAGAGGAAAAGACAAATGCAAATTATTATAATGGGTAATTTTAATGATATAATAAACAATATTTTAGACAGATAATATTCACAAACAATAAACTACAAAAGGCTGCCAATCTTTCATTAGATGAAGAATCAAGACTTCAAAGATATATATAGAGACATGAATCTAATAAGTCAACAATATACATAGTTAAATAGAGAAGTAGCAACAAGAATTAATTATATAAGAATATTAGAGGGATTGGTCTTAGGATTACAAAAGCAGAAATTGAATAAGTAGATAAGATTACAGAAATTGATCACAAAATAGGAATGGTAGAAGTATGAATAAAGCATTTAGTAATAAGGAAAAGCAAGACAGAGATTAAAAAGAAAAAATAGATAAGAACTGTATATTTATATAAACAAACAAGAGCAGAAGACTAAGAAAATTAAGTACAGGAATTACAAAACTGACTAGAAAAAAAAAAGGTATTAGAAGACATTTGCAAAAAAGAGCAAAATAAAGAAAGAAAAACAGAGAAAATAAACAACATATGGAATATAATAAAAGAAGCAATTATTATCTTTTTTTTTTTATTATTAAGGTGAGGTTTTGTCTTTATCTTTATTATAATTTGTATTAAGAATCCACAAGGAGAGTCTTTAACTAAAGGTCAAGTTTACAAATTGTTTACAAGAATGAGACTTAGACTATAGATGTACTAAGACTACCTAGTTTCATCTAATTTATTTGCAACCTAAACTTACTAGAGTGGTTAAATCTCACCTAGATTTTGTTAGTTAAAGTATTGCTAATTTGATAGTTAATTATATTGTTAGTTGGGATACTATATTTGATCCATTCAGATATCCAAATAGATGTTTTCTTTTCTGCCATTCCTGTCAGTAGGCAAATATTGTGTTCATCTTCTATATGTTGTTGGTCTGCTAAACCACAAATGCAGTTGTAAGTATATAGTGATCTTGAATAGTGTATGCTTCTTGTATTGTTTGTATTATTACATGTATTTGTTTGTGTGTGTGAAGGTCAAGTTAGTATATTGTGTTGATGTTTTCAATTGGCTAGTTTTGTGCAGTATAGTTTCTATATTTGGTTGTATATCTTGTCTAATAGTTTTGTTAAAAATTTGGTAAAAGAAGCAATTATTATAGCAGCAAGTAAGCATATACCAAAGAAAAAAGTATATAACACAACAACAAATAGAAGGAAAAGTTCAAGAGAACAACTATGAGAAGAAAGCATTGTTAAGCTTTAAAGATTAATAAAACATATGAAAACAAAAAGAACTCAAGCAGTAAAAAAAAAAGAAAAAAGTAAAGTGAATGAATAGTTAAAAACAATAGGCAAGGAAATTGGTGCAAAGCTTTCATGATTATAAAGACAATAGTTAAATGCATAAATAGAAGACATAAAAGGTTAGAAAAAGCTATTAGTAAAAAGAAAAAAGAAAGACTAGAAACGAATGCAAAGAAAACAAATAGAAGAAAATATAGATAAAAGATATAAAATAATTAGGAAAAGATGATAGCAAGTCTTCTAAATAAGCCTTATAAGAAAATATTACTTGACAGGTTCATCAAACAAGTAGAAAAAAAACAAACTTACTAACAAGTTCAGAAGATGTCAAGATAGGAGTAGCAGAATATTATGAAAACCAATTTAGAAAAAGAAATACAAGATTAAAAAAAATGTCAAAAGAGTAAAAAGAAATAGGAATAATATTGTAGTGCTATGGTGCCGCAGCACTACCTTTATGTAATCAGCTTATTAAATAAGAATAATCTTGCAATTAATGAACATATCGCCACGATGCTACCCTTATGTAATCCATTAAATAGACTCAACATAAATGACATAATTAATTCGATCAACCATATAAAAAATTTTTTTTTCTTACTTGCATTTGACCTTCTACTTGATCCTTTACTCAATCGTTCAACTACATTTACTACATTATTTACACTTGATCACCATGTTATTTTATTCGTCTTATCCATACTTGATCGCTGCGTTATCTTATTCGTCTTATCCATACTTGACCTTTTATTCAATCGTTCGATATTTGGATTTTTTTCTCTTACTACATTGCTTACATTTGATCGTCATATTTATTACCTTATCTTTGTCTTGTTAATTTACCTATGCTTGATCTTACCTATTTATACCTAAACTATGGAAGGATATGAAGAATATGCCATTAGTGATAATGCGCTATATGAATTTACTATAACTGATGACACATCATACAGTAATATCCAGAGCGATTTTGCTGTTAATGATATCCTATATAATGACCAAAGCGAACTTGGTGTTATAAGAGATTTCTTATATGGCAATGATCAAGATAATCATGAAGTTGGAGATATTATGAACTGTGAAAGTGCTGAACATGAGAATCTTATGCCATATAACTCATATAACTGTTATCATTTGATAGAAGGTGCTCAAGGTGAAGAATTGTGAGAGAATAAGATATTCTCTGATTGAGATTATGCGATGAAGGAAGTTGCAAAGTATGGGAGTAAGCAAAAATTCAAGATTCGTTGTTATCGTGTTGAAAGGTCTAATAATATAATTAGGAGGTGTACATTAGTTTGTGAACACTTTGGTCAGCCAGAGGCAACAAAAAGTAAAGGTAAAAAGAAAGAAACAACTTCTAAGTGTGTTGGGTGTATCTGGCAGATAAATCTTTCATGTTCAGAGAAAAACAACCCTCACAAGTTTGTTTATGTTACAAAATTAATTGATGAGCATAAGAATCATACTCTTGATCACGCACATTATGATTTTCAGGAAAGCTTGGAGTTTACAGTAGATATGATTAAGGATGTTGAATTTTTTGTTACCAAAATAAATTGTAGCTCTCAACAAATTCATAAAGCTCTTGAGGAAAAGTATTCTGTAAAGATTTTCATGCCAGTGTTATATCGGGTAATTCAACAGTTTCATTCGAAACCCCATGACCAAACAAATGATGCTAGTCTTTTGTATGAAGAGTTGTTAAAAAAGAAAGAAATTGACCTCCAATAGTATATTGAAGTAGATTGGGACCATAACAGTAAATGCCTACGTCGACTATTCTATATGTCTCCAGATCAAATTAAACGATGATTAAAGTTTGGTGATGTAGTTTTAAATGACAACACATCAGCTACAAACCATTACGAAATGGCATTGTCCCTTTTTTTGGTGGTTGACAATCATTTATCTTTCTGATTAGTGGCTCAGGCATTAACAGACAATAAAACAAAGGAGGCGCATGTTTGGATATTGCAGCAAATAAAGAAAGCGACATTTGAAGCCATTCCACATGTTATTTTTACCGATGCTGACCCTGCCTTACTTGCTGCAATACAGGAAGAATTTCTAATGACAAATGCTTTTCATTGCATGTTTCATATTGCACAGAATATTCCTCTCAATTTGAAAAATAATCTCAGGGACTGTTATGATGAGTTTATTAAGAACTTCTTTGATTTACAGCAAAGCAGCTTCATAACAATCTTCGAATAAAAATGGAAATGCCTAATTGAAAAATATAACAATAAACATGTAGTTAATTATTTACAATGTGTTCTTTATGCTAACAAAGAAACATGGGCAAAGGCATTTGTGCTTAAATTATTTATCGTGGAGATGTCATCAACTTCTCGAGTTGAAAGTTATAACTCTAAGGTCAAGAGATTAATATTTAATTTAAATACCACATTATTAGAACTTTCAGAAAAACTGTCGTTATGTATTCTTGAAGAGGATAAAAAGACAAAGTATGCATTATTTCGTGCCTCGATTCCTAAAGCTGTTCTGGTTGCGACAGCTGATACTATTCTTCCAAAAGTCTATAATATGTTGTGTAAATATCTTACAGTAAAAATGTTAAAGATTCAAAAGGATTAAATAAAACAAGCACTTCACTATCATGTTGCGATAGTATCAAAAAATGAACTGCGAAAATACCTTAAGGTAAATTCTAATTGTTAGATGAATCTTGAGTTACTCTTTAATATATTAGGTGTGATTTGCATCAATAATACCCAGTCATATTAACATGCCATTGTTGTAAATTTTTAGATTAATCTTGAAGATTCTACCTTATTTGGTGAAATCCCAAAATTTACCAATATCATGGCCAAATTAATGCTTAATCTTGTCGATAATAACAAGATTGTAGAAATGTGGGGGGTTCAACAAGTAACATCTAATAATATATGACATTTTGTAGTTCTTTTAGATAATGAAACACACTTATGTTCTTGTTTTAATCATTGTAATCGTGAAATTGTTTGCCAGTATTTTTTCCAAGTAATGTTATGTTCACAAGCTGCAACATTCCACATTCAGTTGATAAGATCACATTGGTACAACGATAGTGAAGTCAGCTGCAATTCTGCTCAAGAACCATTTTTGGTTGCACAAAAATTTGAAATAGAACAATCAGTGATGATGAGTTGGAGTAATTCAGTCCCTTATCTTAATGCATTAGTTCAGTCTCAAGAGGTGCATAATATAAACCATAAAATGTTAGATGAACGTAAACTACATGGGCAAGCATGGGGCAAGGCAAGAGCGGCTTTGACATTAGCTGTTTGACAACGTAATTATAATTTTATTGCCATCCTTGATAAATATATAGAAGATTGTCAAGAACCATTATCATCTGATAGTAATGTAACTTCTGATAGTGAGGGTGAAACTGATAATGAAACTAAAAAAGGAAAGTTGGATCTATCTGATTTGATGAATCCTCAAAAACGTAAGGCAAGGGGTCGACCAAAAGGAACAGACAGAATGCGATATGTGAGTGAACCATCAAAAAAGACAAAATGCCAACTACGTTGTAAAATTTGCAGAAGTGCTAGTTATAATCGAGTAACTTGTTCTCAAAGAAAAGAGTAGCCTTATTTGTTTTAGGATTTATGTATCTAAGTGCTTATACTAAGTATTAGCTTTACAGTGAGCCAATTGTGATAATCATATTAATATTATGAATGATGAAAAAAAAAACTAGGAACTTATTAGTGAATTCATAATCAAGTTTCGGCATTTATAGTTCAAAGTAGGAGTGCTAGACTGTTCTCATTTTTTTTGAGAAAAATAAGAACGATTATGTATAACATGAAACTTGCATATGAATTTTTTAGAAATTATACCGATATAGCAATGACTAGCACTAACTTTTATTGACATTGCAGGCTAGTAGCTAGAATTAGAGTTATGGTATAGTAGGATTAGATTTATACACTGTGTTTGTATAATTCCTAGGGCCCTAGTGTTAAAGCATCAATCTTGCTAAAAAATTTCTGTCACCAGATTAGTGTCAGGTTTAGTCATTAAATTAGTTAGAAAGTTTATCAATATGAAGTTTACAAATTTTGTGTTATACCTGATCTAGTGAAATTTTTTAGTAGGTGAAACTGATAAAGCGAAAATTAATAGCCAATTATTCTCCAAAGTTTTTGTATAGACCTGGATTGCATAGATCAATAATCAATTTTTTAGCTGCCCTGATATTTTAGCAGTATTATATACTGTAAGTAGGGATGTTAAAAGTTTGACTCGATTCTAAAATTAGGTTATGCAGATTTTAATGTCATGCGAATTTGTATTGCTTTTAAGCAATATCAAGTTTATTGTTATACAAATCACCATAACAAATCTGGATTTGTTTTATTTTTCAAAGTGTGGCAAGGATTTACATGTATATGTAAAAGTTGAAAAATGTCCGTCTATCCACCACGTGACTTTATTATGATTGGCATCTTCCCCAGTATTGCCAACAAAAATTTTACCAGCACGTGACATACAAAATTCTTTAAATTCATTTATATTAGGTTAGGAAACCACCTTTTGCGCATTAACAAAAAGTTTTCCTTGAGCGATTTTACTATTAAAACTCCTCTACCACTAACACTAGCATAGGTCCTATATAGATTTAGGATTATAAGCGAATTTTGACAAAATGAACATTTGAGTTTTCCTGATCACATAATGTTACACCAAATTGAGATTTGTTATTGGCTTATTTTTGTAGATTATTACATGCTGGTAAAAATTTTGTTGGCAATACTAGGGTAGTTGTGATTGGCTATTACAGTCTACACTAGATCTTTTTTTTTTTATTAAAATTAGTAATAATATATTAGGCTTTAGTTTCTGTTAATCTTATATTAATAAATATAATATAATATATATATATATATTAAAAAATATAGTATTATAGTGTCCTAGTGCTATAATGCCATAGCACTATAAAATAAAACCCTTTATATATATATATATATTTTTAAAAGCAAGGCCTAGCCTCTATTCCTTTATTATTATTATATAAAATTTTTACAAGAAGTAAGTGAATACAATATTATAGAAAACTAAAGATTAAAGCTAATTTACTTTTAACCTAGACTTTGCTAAGAAGGTTCAGGACCTTCTAGTCTATATATATAATGTTTGTTGTAAGTATGTTTTGGTAAATAAAATTTGAAAACTATTTGTTATATTTATTTTATATAGTGTCTATAATAGAATAGGGTTGAGGGGTATGGCGACCTAGTGAAGTGGTCAGGTTGTCAACCCCCCAAGTGGTAGGTTGGGTGTTCAAATCCCATCGACAGCGAAAATTT